TCACCGATTCGGGTAAAACGAGCTTAATGAAGGTTCTATCCAAATGGTTCCCTTTTTTTGCGGCGGAATCGAGATGTATGGAAGAGGGCCAGAGAGTCTGTCGGGTGTTTTGTTTTTCGCTGCAGTGCAGGGCCCTAGGGAAGCGGCCCCGGCGTCAACAACCCCCCCCAAATAAGTGGCAACACGCCAAAGCTGCCCAGACTGCTTGATTGACATGGTTGATCAATATTCCTGGCCCCCTAATGAAGATCTCTGAATCACTGGGCAGAAACCAAAGCCACGTGCAATCAAAATGTTTCCACTTGTTTTGGGCTTGACCAATGCTCGGGGCTGTTGCCAATTGTCTTGGAAGGTTCAATGCAGGTTTATAAGAATCCCCATGTCGCATGACTTATCGTTACTGTGGTTGGCAAGCTGTTTGGTTCTTTTCAATTTTGGTAGGGGGCTGCAAACAACAACGTATACAGTTGTTTGTTACTATACCCAGGGTTGCAAAATTAAAGCCTTTGCTTCTTTCAACTCCGGCTTTGTCCAAAGCCGCTTCGGCGGGGGGTAAGGTTGGCTAACGTTTCCCATTTCCGGGTTTGTCATATTTGTGTTGCCTTCTGTGTGAAGATCACCTAAGCCACAATCAAAACCTGGGTAGATGAAGGTTAGTAAGGGACACTCCCCTTGCCATAAATAGCTGCGGATATCCGCCTTCTTTTTTCTTTTCATGGTTCTGGGTAGACCATGTTGATACGGGGCTTTGATTATGACTCACCTGGTTTTCCACCACAGAGCCCCCAGTCGTTCGCCTGGCTGAATGAGATCATTGAGATGATGTGAGCCATGGCCGAACGACCGGTTTTCTAGGAAACGATTTGGATGTTGTTTTTGTGGATCCACCATTGTAGGATGGCAATAGAGTACTAAAAGAGTATTAACATTTGGAACAACTAGCCAAACAACATGGGGAAACCAGAGAAAGCGCATCCAATCCGTTTGCTGGAGGTTTACTCGGGCTTGCTACATTTCACCAACTTGCCCATCAGACCTTTTAACCTTTGGCTTGACCTTCTTGTGCATCCATGTTGAGCCCCAAAAGCTGAACCCTTGATGATCAACAGCAGGTCTCTAGTTCTTGGTTCCATGTCCCGGGATTTCATTTTGGGTACCCTCCCACCAACCAACATGGATCTGCAAAAAGGCCAAAGCCAGGGGAAAGTCGTCTTTCTGCAGGGCTCTGTACACTTCCATGTGGCCGTGGCTCAGAAAAGGGAGCCCATGTTTGGGCTCCTTGGATGAACCAAGGACCAAACACCTGCGTAACCCTGGCCTTCAATCTTGAGCCACACCCATGTTAGCTGGGAGGGTCCCCATTTTTGACGGAGCCATGCGGCCTTTGGCCAATTGACTCATCCGTCCGGCCCAGGTGGAGGCTGCGGAAGCGGGTCTGACCCAACTCCTCGGGCCCCAGGCACGGCGAAGCGTACTGGGTGTGGCCCAAAAAACCGGAATTCCAAAATGGGTTGCCAAAGTGGAGACATGGACCAACACCTGCGTAACCCTGGCTCTTTAATTTTGAGCCACACCCATAATATATATATATATATACATATTGGTGTACATATATATATATATATATATCAATATTGGCAGGTAAGAAAGAAAACCACCCTTTCAAGAAGCCTAATTGGAACATGCTTGGGTTCTACAAATGCCCCCCTCCCCCCCAGAAAAGCAAAACAGCAACAGTTGTCAGATCCTAGTAAGCTGCCGGTTGAAAAGAAGGGTTCTCTGGTTAGATTAAAGGGATACCAATGTTTGCATGTTAACGTGTGGTTTCTCGGTTGCTTTCTGCTCCCCTGCTAACAGTTTAACTGTTAGTGGTTTAATGGAAAACCCATTAGTTGGCAACAACTTAAAGTCCTAACATCCAAGCAAAATGCATCAAAGGTTTCCCGTGCTGCTTGAACATTGGGTGTCCAAACTTGTTCCCCTCTTGCAATATCTAGCCATCAACGGCAAAATCAAGCCCAAGCCAGGGATGGGTTGAGTTTTGAGCAAATACTTTTCTAGCTGCACCCTCCCTATTCTCTTCACGGATCCTTCTCTTCAAAAACTGGACAAAATCCTGGAACATAGGTGGTTTCTACAGAGAACACTGTAGAATGGGGAATCAAACCTTAGATCATTTGACGTGGCAACTTTCCAGACACTGGGAATGGGAACCTACACAGTTGGCGGTCTCCGCTTGGTTTGCCGTAAGAACAACTCCAAACTGGGAACCTTGAAAACAAATTGATATTGACACGACATATGGGCAGACGCACAATGTAGAGCGGGTTCGCCACAAAGAGAGATTTGTTCGAACAGCTTCCAAAAAACATGCAAACACAATTCTCATTGCTAGCAGCATCATCTCCACACAAAGTGCTGGGTCGGGGTGTTTTCGTGATTTTTCGTGTTTTCTTGGACTTTCGGAGCAGCATCCACGCCTTCACGGCCTTTGTTGGGGGGGGGGGGGAATTCTATGTATATCTGGTTCCGGATAAGAGAAGATACAACATCACAAAGGAAACCGGGAACATGAAATTGTGATCTAAATCCCCCCTCCCTTCCAGTGGGATACCCCAGCTGCGACCCTCTGGTTGATGACTTTCGGAACAGCGTGGCCCGTTTAGAAACAAGACTATGCTTAGAGCATCCTCCTATGATCATGACTTACTTTGGTCAGTCCCCATTCTATGTTTGTTGTGTTGGTGTTGATACTGCGTTTTGCTTGCAATCAGGGAATCAACTGTAGCAGAGTCCGGGATCTCAAGAATTCTACACAGGGATCTGGAAGGCAGACCTGGTCTGATTGGCTTTGGGCATTCTGCTTTCCGAACCGGCCGAAGCGAGACACGTGCAACGACCCGCAGCTTGTATTCATCTGGACGCTGAATTACTCTATGACCACGCTTCTTCCTGAGTTGAACATTTTTCCAGAGTTGTGTAAAGAACAAGTTGAACTTCTCAATATTCCACTTGTTTCCTGCATGGGCTCGAGCCATGCTTACGTTCGGAGCTATAGAACTAGAGCACCATTTTCCTTGCTGGTTCGATAGGCAGGGAATGAGAAACGGAATGACCCCAAGAAAAACCATCCATTTGCTGGATTCCGGTTCATTCCACCAGCACCCGGACTCGCATTCCGTCATGCCCTACATTCCCTAGCTCTGGCACGAGCAAGATTCCCAGCCCGGCGCTTGGTTTTGCCTCGTTTGGCCCTTTTGCTCAACCCCGTAGGTCAAACGGGAGTGCGGCTCAGTTTCCACCTGAAAAGTGAGACTCGACAACCCAAAAAACGAGAACACAAAAACGGGCCCCGTTGAGGGTCCCACATTTTGATATATACCTAAGTTGTGCCAAAAGAGTCAAAGCTCATTTCGGAGAGGAGCCCAAGTCCTTGGAAAGGTGGGTTTTTGGGGAATACCTGGACCCTTAAACTACGTACGTACCAACCAACATGGGAACGCAACCCGGCAATCACCCATGAGGGTACTTTGAGGGTACAGGTATCCTTCGGATGGAAGCTTACAAAGCTCTCGTGTCAGGAGAGGCGGGCCCCTGGCCTGCTTGAGATGCTGGCGGGCGCTGGCCCAAGCCAAGGAAATCTCGCAGGTGGATGACCCAGATGTCCCATGGGCATACGCCAGCCGCGTCTCAACTGTTTTTCCCACCTCCAAAATCCCAAGCGCGGTTTCCAAAAACAGTCGTTGGGGGGTGCTGGTGAGGGTGTCTTTTTGTTTAATATGGTACCCGTTGTGGGGTGGCTTTGAAGAGAAACACAAGGCAAACCACGAATCTCTTGAGACAAGCCCATGTGTCAAACTAGGGGAAAGCAACATGGTGGGTTTCCTTTCGGTGAAAGAGGTCTCCGGGCATTCGCTCGTTCGGGGTCGGGTTCCTACTTGCCTAACCTCTCAAAACCAAGGCAATCGTGTTGTGGCCAGTCTTTCATCTCTGGGTCAGGGGCTAAAGGCGTTTGTAGATCACTCCTTTCCTCTTTCTGAGGGGTTGCAGTGTGCGTTTCATGTCCTACACCTGCAATCGGGAAGCGAAACGGAGGCTGTTCAACGAGAGATAAGTAAGCATGTATCAGTTGGTTGGCCATACACCTATGCCAAATCACCCAGTTCAGAGGCACCGGTGTTGCCAGTTAAAGTTGTCAGAGCGGTCCAAGTCTTTTTCGACAAGTGATCAATGGGCAACTGGGAGGGCTTGAGCACTTTGACAGGGGGTAGTTGGGAACTATAAACCAATTTATGCGGGAGCAGAATGGCCAGGGAGCAAATGAGGAAACTGATGCCAACATTGCCGCATAGATGCAACACAAGCAGCTTGCAGCCCTTATTTCGTGGTTTGGTTTGGATTGGTGGTTTGGGGATTTGAACCTTTTGTTGTTCAAGCTCAATAGAAAAGGTGGCTCCTTGACCTCTAAACCACCAATCCAAGCCACCAAATAAGCGGAAGCTGAGATAAGGAACCAGTCCAATGCATAGGTGTCCGTTCAGGGCAGTCTGGTTGAAGATAACTGTTGCTTCCGTATGTGTCAGTTTGATAGTGCCGTCTAAAAAGTAATCACAACCACTCCTGGGACTTTGTCCCCTGTCCGGGGGTGTTTCCGTGTACTTTCCTGTTAACAAAAAAAAAACAGTTCCTAGGGTATCCTTTTCAGAGACAAAACCATATGTGCAATCTGGAGCTTCAGAATGCATGAATTCCACTTCCTTTTGGGTGAAGCCCAGAAGACGTAGCCCAGGTGCAGAAACACAAGGCAGTCTGCAACACATAGGGTCTAGCAACAGGGGTCTAGCACCCAATCCAACAGCCAGGTCTAACCTGGGGTAGACTTAGGATACATTTTACATTTTACTGGCTCAAAGGGAAGCAAACAATAGAATATACATTCTATAACTGGGCCTAAGTCTACTCATGCAATACAGATCTCAACGCCCGTTGGACATTTCCTCAGCTCCCGGCTCAAGCGCCGGGAGTTTCTTCCCGCGCTGAGCCGCTGAGCGCGAGCCTCGCGAGCCGAAGAGTGTCAGAGCGCACGTCTGGGCCCCGGCCAGGGAATCGAATTGAGGTCAAGTCAAGGGTGAGGGGGGATGAAACCGATGGCGCCTGCTGAAAGGGCTACCGAAAAGGGGCACCATTTTTGACAAGCCTCCAATGGACGGTTTGTTCCATGTTAATTTGCAGGGGAACAGAATGGTTGTGAAGTGGGCGAATTGACCAGAAGTGGCCTGTGCTGGAGGCATGTCTGCAAATTTTTGGGGTGTCCTCATTTTGAGACAAACCCAAGCAGGGCCGTGGGAGGAGCAAATCGGGATAGTCGGGAGATCGCATCCCTGCTACTTTGCTTTCCGGAGTGTGGCTTTTATCGTTGGGCAGTTGGAGCGTCTTGGCGGGGCTTAGGTCGCCTGTGGCGATCTTTGCGCTTCGGCCATTGCTCGAAGTGGCAACTGCAGCTCCAAGCGTCGGCGTCGGCTCCGTGTGAAGGCCGTCCAAGCCATCCCTTTGGGGCTGTTGCTGCTGGGAGGCAGCATACCTTGTCCCATGTCTTTTTCGCGGCACGCTTCAATGGCAGTTGGTTTGCTGTTCAGCGGTTGCAATGTCAACTTTGAAGCTGTGGGTTGGACATCCAGGTTCTTTTGGAAGGGGTTCCATTGAAACAACCAACCCAGCAATGGAAACCTTTTCCAATGGGTTCCTTTGAAGCCAACCAACCCAACTCTGGGTAGTGTTACCTTCATGTTTCAGGTGAACCGGTCACCCAAAAGGTGGGCCCCTATTTATACAACAATCAATTTTACCTTCCGGTTGGCCCAAGCAACGATCAGGCTAGAAAAGCCTATCCTTACCAAGAAGCCTGGGTTGAGGAAGGGCAACGCCTAGCATCTCTGAGATAACCATGCCATAGTTCCAGGTCGGGCAACTGGTTTGTCCCTTTACCTTCCATGTGCTTAAACACATGTTCAATTGCCCCCTGTCGGTTTTAAAGGGGATCCATCCCTGGAACTATGTTATCGTGTTTTCCCTCATTTTCCCCAGGCGAATAAAAAAAAGGAAGTCAAAAAGGAAGTCACCAAGTTATTTTCCCAGGCGGCAAAAACAAAAGGACGTCAACAAGTAAGTCACCATGGCTGCAACCTCCTTCAGTCGATTTCCACCGGGTCGGGCCTTCGCCCGCAAGCCGAAGGCCCGCCGGCCATGGACCTGGAGGTCCCGGAGAGCGAGCCTGAGGACGCGGAGCATGGCGAGGACGGAAAAACGAAGCGGGCCGGTCCGGGCGGTGGGGGTAGCGTTGCCCGCTGGGCGGTTTGGTCAAAACCGTTTTTGGGGATCTAATTTTGGGGTTTGCAGGTGAATTCACCAGTGGGGTACGGGATTGGGGTTACCGGATTGGGGTTACCCACTTGATGGGGCGTCAAAGATCCACTTGGGGGTTACCCACTTTGGGGTTACCCGCTTGACGGGCGGTGGGGGTTTCCCAAAAAGTCAAGTGTAGTGGGCAACGGATCTTTAGACTTCGAATGTTGGTTGAAATCAAGTTGGGTTTCCCACGAAACCGACCAAAAAGTGACATTTTTGCAGAGGGATCAGCAGCAACCAAGCCCAAAGGAGAGGGAACACATCGTCGTCTTGACCTGACATCGGGAGGAAACTACTCCATTTTGGGGGGGCCATGGTCCAAAGGCTTTTTTTTTGCCTGGGGGTTGGTGTTAGTCACGGACCCCGGTTGAAGATTAGACCTCTAAAGATTGCTGTGGAGGCTTGTGGGATCACAAGGGGTTCATCCAACCGCTGTGATAAAACTAAAATAATATATCAAGGTATTTTGCCTATTACAAAAACAAATAAAATAATCATTTAAATGTATTTTATATCTAAACAAATATTTTAATAACATATTATAATAATCAGCTCTCCTTATGGGGGTCAATCTTTGGGCTTCGCCCTTCTGTTGTATCACAGTCGTTTCCCACGACCCTGCAGGCGGCCGTTTGGTAAAAGAGATGCCCCTGGTAAATGGAATCAATCAAAAGTGCCAACCAAACTAACCTAACAAGGAGAAGGACAGAAGATCTGCAAACCATCGACCACTAAATAATCTATTTGGTCTATCAACAACAAGACCGGACACCCAGTGAGAATGGTTGCTGGTTGAAAGGAACAATTGGGTATGGGTCACAATGAAAAACCACCAGCATATGGAACACATATGTTATTCCAGGTTTCCATTTACCCGGGCAAGCCATTGGGGGGTTACCCTATTTTTCACAGCCATGCGTATCCTTCAGGGCACCTCTCATGAGCCCCATCACTTTCGATCAAAACAAACATCGCTCGGTCGATTTTGGGGGTGTCTTAAAACAGGACCCCCCGAGAAAGAAAAAGGCGATTGGCTCTTTGGTTTCCCCTTCAAATGATTCCAAGAAGAGGCCCACCAGGGGCAGGGTCCCCAAAAGGAGACTACTGTGACAGTGATGGGTCCCTTTGGAATCTGCAGAAGAAAAATATACACGAAGAAACCATGGCCCCAAACAAACCAAAGATGAGGATGTCCAAGCAGTGGTTGCTTTTGCCAGTTACTCATACCCCTTTGTTTCGGAGGTTTTTGTTTCAACCAGCAGGCCTAGTCCCCTTTAGCAGCAAACTTTAGCACATCAACAAGACGCTGCACAAGCTTTTGTTTCACCAAGCAGACCCTGGTACTAAGACAAGCCACAGGGAGGCCGTTGAAACAGCGGTGGCTGAAGCGGCTGTGCCAACCCTTGAAGCCTTGAGGGTGTCTTCGGGTGCTTCATGGCCCACTTCGCTGTGGAAAGCTTTTCGCTTTTCAGTGGGGCTTCTCTTGAAGCTTTGGTCAAGGGTTCGCCTTGAATTTCCAGGTCCTTAGTGAGCATCCCTTCCACATCGTTTCCTTCAAAAGGTGGGTGAAACCTTGAGTATGAGTGGGGAAATGTAGTCTGCCCCAAACTTCCCGGGGCTTATGCAGACCCCGAAAGTCCCTGTCACCCCAAGTTGCTTTAGGGGTGTTGAAAGGATATATTTTGAGGCCCATTCCATCACTACCCTCAGGGTTTAGGGGAAGGCTGGAGCGAACAGCTTCTTCGACATCCATCACCTGATTGGGTGGCGCGGAAGAAGCGCATCTGGGGAGCGGAGTTCATCTGGTTTCTGGATAAATTTAGTTTTAGTTTAGCGTTGGGAAACTTCAGACTTCTATTGGCAATTGTTGGGGTCTAGGGATCCACAGGAAGACGTGATTACCCGTTTCAATTTGGTTTGAAAGGCACCAACAAGAACGCGCCATGTTTGAGGCCATATGGTACTACACAGATAATATCACCCATATGGTGCATACGCAGATTTACAACATGACACATGTCCAAATCATATTTTGACACATTTCCATATGAGCAGCACCGGCTTCGCCTATATAAACCGGTATTTCCATTTTTAGAGCTGGAAAAGCCACTGCTTTAGGCGCTGCTATGGGCGTTTCTGTAAGTAGCGGCCCCGACAGACGGGTACGGCGGCCAGCGTTGGGCCCCCCAGCCCACCATTTGGAGAATCCCTATGACAACGCCCGGAATTTATTTGTGAGTGTTTGTGTTTTCTTTTCTTTTTTTGTTTCTTTTGAGAAAAAACAGTTTGTTTTTTTTCCAGGAGCCCAAGCCCGAGGAGGTTGAGGTGCCTGACATCTACTCCTTCAGGCTTCTGAATCCCCCTGGCGGTCGAAAGACACCTCTGGGGTTGACAGAGATGGTCATCCACCTGGTAGGGATGCTCAGCATCCACCTGGTACGGATCCTGAACCAGGTATAATGAGTTCTAAGGGAGCCATGACCATAGACCATAGGAGTTATGACCTTGGCTATGGGTTTGCAGGGCTTGTCTGTTCGGCGGTTGTGGGTGCTTTTCATGGAGGAGAAGCCCCTGTTGGAGGGCAAATGTCAAGGCAAGACAATAATTTAAACAACGTTTGGGGGAGGGGCGGGGGGGGGGGGGCAATTTGTTTTTTGACCAGGCCCAGGTGTTGATCTGAAATCGAAGCTTTCAGAGTGCCTTGGGACAGGTGAACATTTTTGGGGAAGGCGTTGGACCATTTGAGGGGTGCCATGGTCACCTCTGCCAAAGCTTGGAAGCGTTCCGGAGCCCAAAGTGTTTGTTGCATGTCTAGGTCCCCAGTAGTGAGCCCTTTTACCGTTTCTTTTTGGGGGGAGGGTTTCCCTACAAAAATAGACTAGAGAAAAAAAGGGTACTATTATTCTAATCTCTCTACTGGAGGTCCTAGATATTGTTTGCGACTGAGATAAAATGGAGAATCGCGGCCAAAAATGTCAAGGGTCACCTTCGGTTAAGCCAATTCCTTGTGTTGGTTTGCCGTTCTCAAGGTTTGGTGGCAAAACCAGTATTTCACAATGGATGTCCACCAAAAAATGGCACCACTAGATGACTTCTTGTGTCTTAGCACGCAGCAACTGAGTGAGCAGAGCAGGGGGGACGGAACCTGTTTCCTTGCACCTTTCCTGGGGACGGGGGCGGGGGGGTGGGCTTTCGAAGCCCCACGTTTGGTGAACGGCGTTCTTCGGCCTGTTCCAGGAACCAGCCCACGGCACAAGTGAAACAATCTCATCCCACGCGAAAGTCAAGGGAAGATGGACTGGATGGATCATTCATGCCAGCTGGAACCCAAAAGGTTTGTCTTGACGGGGACAAGTGGGCCGATGCCTCACTGCCCGAGTGAAAGGCCTAGCTAGCCCAAGTCATCAAGGACAATCCGATCTACCACAGGAAACTCAATCACATGTACGTCAAGGGCCTCACCCTTTCCAATCTCATCCCACACCAACACGAAAGTCACGGCAAGATGGACTTGAACCCAAAAGTCAACGAAAAGCCATCTAGGAGCCTCCAGTAGGGAGACCTAAGCCCTAAATCAACCAAAAGGATACCCAGATCATTCAAGCCGTCAACCCAAAAGCCCCAAAACCAGCGACGGGACGTCCAAAACCAGCGGCTGCTCGCCCCCGGGCACGAACCGGCGATTCGATCGATGCTGCCAGGCCGGGCGACTCGGCAGGGAGCCCAAAAAGCGGCGAGGAGTGTTCCCTTTCCTTGTTGGTTCCCAGCCATCCCCTTCGGTGCTTAGTTGTTTCTAGTTTGTTTGAACTACATATACCTCCAAATTGAAGCATCATGTGCCTTGTTCATACCTTTTTATGATTTTGGGGGAGACCAAATGTGACGTGTGGCTTTCGATTCACCCCCAGGCTGATCCAACTTTTGGTGAACCATTCATCAAGCACCAACCGAAAAAGCCAAACGCTGAAGGCTGTCACACAGTCTGGATATGTTTGAGATGTTTTGCAAGCCGGCTGGTGGCAGGAACCAAAAGAAGATAGTTGCTTTCTGTTGAATTGCACATGGTGGTGTTGCAAAGGTCTCCCAATGCTGGCAGTGTTTTTCGGGCCAAAGGCTTTACTTGAGGGTGCGCGAACAAGAAGGTAGATAATGGGGCGTGTGTCTTTTTGAGGATACCCTTTGTGGGGTTGGTCTAAAGGCGCCTACACATACTCAAATAGTGATGAGTCACCGCCTCGTCAGCCTCGTCATGAAGTGTCCCTGAGATGATTTCGCGCAAAGCCAAATGTAGATTGATTGCGTAGTTGCCTTGACATGGAGAAAAGGGAACCCCGCTTCCATGATAGCTGGCCTCCAAGCAAGTAAGCTGCTTCGTCTTGGGAGACCAACATCAGTGGATCAGACAAACTCAACACCAAAATTCAGGGTTGGGGACAAGGGGAGATGATTTTCCCCTATCAGCGCAGGATGGTTTCAACATTGGCTCAAGCAAATAAGACCCTGGTAGCCAAATAACAGGGACAACACCAACACATTGTTTAATTCAAGGGTGTAATACATGGTTAGGCAAGGTTTTGCCATGCAGCGGCCACCAAAAACCCAGAGAAAACAGCGATCGGTTTTTGAACAGAACGATGGTTGAAAAGAGTGGACAAGAACTCAACCCCTAGAACAAGGGCACTTGGCAGTGCTTGGCCCCCTGTGTTATACGTTATTACCCACCAATCACTGGGTTAAATCACTGGACAAGGACTCAACCCCTAGAAGTTAATGGGTAAGCACTTCCACTGAGAGAAAGCCCTTGCTCAGCGCCCAGATTTTTTTGGGTGCCCCAAACGTGGTCGACCTGAAAACGGGTCCCGGTTTGTCTTCTAGGTCCCCCAGCAATTGGTGCCCTTTCTCACCCCTTTTTTGGTTGGAAGATTCGGTTCCCCTACTAAAATTGACAAAACTGAACAAAGCATCGGGTTCCTAGGATGCGATTTGGGCCGTTTAAAAAGAATCGCTTCTTGGACCCAGAGGGTCCAAATGCTGGCTTGCTCTTTGGATGTACCGGAAGCCTTTTTTCTGCCGACAAGGTCACTGGGCATAAGCACTGAAAAACACCCAGGTCCCCTAACTTGCTGGTGCTCAGCAGGGAATGAGACATGTTTCCTTTACGGGGACCTCCGGGTAATCATTCTTACATTCCCTATCGCAGCAGCACGCCTAAAGGTCCCCTAAGTGGCTGTGGGTCAAGATTAAACAAACAGTGGACTGTGATTTGGTTTTAGTGCTTGGATTGAATTCCCAGGTTTCCATTTTGGGTTTTCCATTTTGGGTTTTCCATTTTGGGGTTGCCCATTTTGGTTGGTTGGTTGGTGAATTCACCACCCATTTTTGTCTATTTTAGTGTGTTTATGTGGGTCAACACCGTTCTGGGATCCCCATTTTTCACCAGCCACGTGAGGACCGCACCCAACTTGGAACCTCCAAACCCCAAACCCGGCGGCGAGGTCATGAGCATCCGGCGGCGCATGCGTGAGGCCCGGAAGGCGCGGTTGGGCAGGTGGCGCCTTCGGTTCAGGTCACCTGTCAGCTTGGTTTGGGATTTGAAGGCCCTGGAACTTGTGTAGACATTGTTGCTGTTGGGAAACATTTTACATGGAAATCCCCACTTAACTGCTAAGATTTATTTCTTTGCTCCCCTTCCAACTTCAAGCAAGTAGAGGGAGGGGGTTGAACCAAACCACTGTTCACCTGAGCCACTTGCTCAAAACCGATTCGGGTAGATGGTTAGGTTAGGGGCCACTCCCCTTGCCAGAAATAGCTGCGGATCTCCGGCTTCTCAATTCTTGCAGCATGGTTCTGGGTTCACCATTTTAGCAGCTCACCTGTCAGGTTTGGGATTTGAAGGCCACGGAACTTTTGTAGAGGGAGGGGGTTTTCAGCAAACCACCAAGCTCCAAGCACCAATCAGAGGGAAGCTGAGGGGTGTTTCTTTTACATATCCATTCAAAACCAGCCAGAGTTTTAGGCCATTTATATAGAGTAAGGCAGATTGTGGGTGTGCATGTGGCCGAATGCAAAGTTAGCACTTGGTGCTTTAGCAGATTAGTTGTTGGGAAATCCCCTCAGACCTGTCCGGCAAGATATGTTGCACAAGCTGAAGCCTTTGCGCCGAGTTGTACTTAATTTTGACCGGTGGGCTGGCGTTTGTGCCTTTTAATTTTGCTGCGGACGGAATCTGGTGGTAAAACCACTGATGTTTCTATCTGACTGGTCTTAACGTGACTGCGCTCATGGCTCGGTTTAATGTGTGACACAAGACATACTTTGCCACAATCGACAAGGATGCAGATTTGCCTGTGGTGTGGCAACAATGTTTGTGGTGGAAGAAAGATAGATGTGGCAGGTTTGCTAGCATGACACCAAACAAAGCAACCGCGGTTGATCAACAGCCAGAAACATATTTTCCAGCCGTTTCACAAATGCCTTACTTAATTGTCATACATGCCATGGTTAAAGACCTGTTTACGGAGGGTTGCTCTGGTCTTCTCATGGGGCACCATGACCAGACCACAGAGGTTCACGATAATCCAATGTCTGTACGGGCACACAATGAGAGTGTCGTCGACCCTCCAAATTCGTGGTGTTCCTTTTTAGATTTCCTTTGAAACCAACCTAAAAAGATTGCCGTTAAACAAGACACAAGACAGACCCATAGATCTGCGAGAGCCATTGACTGTGACTCATGTAGCAAATGACTGACGCCTATCGCAGGCTTGAGGGTGCCCTTTGTGGGGTTGCTTTTTTTTTCCGTGGATGGACATTCTCCTGCGCCAGTTGGGATGACACCTCATGAATACTGTGACAAGCCAGCTACCAGCTGCTGTGTTTCGCGGATTTCGCCCATCAGTCTGCTGAAGCCATAGGTGTCCTTAGGTTAAGTTGGTTAGAGATGGATGGGTTCCACTGGCTTGGGTTTTATGCCATCCATTTACCAGGAAAACCCGGAAACCTCAGGCCCAGCTGGAAGAGGAGAAAGCTGCAGCTTCCGTCGGTCCGGCTGAGGGAAGTCGTTGCCTTCAAAGGAATCCCCGACTGGAGTGTTCATTCACGATTGGAGTGTATCCCAGGTTTTTTTGTTTTTCGACTTGTTCATTCACGTTTGGAGTGTATCCCAGTTTTTTGGTTTTTCGCCTGGGCTCGATAGGCAATGAGAAATGGAATGAATTCAAGAACATCCATCTTTCTATGTGTTCCTTTATGGGAATCACGACTTGTTCATTCCTACACCCGGAAGGTCATCCCCTACTGAGCACCAGCACGTTAAAGAGGGAGCCAAGGAGCTACCAGTTCTGTAGCATGGTAGACACTGCATGGTTTCCTGTTGGAGGGTTTAGGTCGAGGTTTCGCGTTGACTGAAACCTGGCATGTTGTGCTTTCCGAAGCTCCGCCCCACTTCAAGACAAAGCCACATGCTTTCCAGCTGCATGTCACCTCGAAAGCCCCACTGATTCGGGGTCTCGCTGCCCAGTCGAATCCTAAGAATCCGGTTTGGGTCCCGTTTTTTCCGGCCGGTTTGGGTGGACATTTGCGTAGAACTTGGATTTCGTGATGAAACCATTCCGAACTTCAGTCTGCGTATGTTTCCTCTCAGTTGCCTCCATCGTTTGAGAGGAATCCCCCAAAGACCAGCCCTTGGTAAGGTCCTCTGGGTGAATCCGATGACATCAGAACCAACTGAAGGCTTGCCGAAGGGATTCACGAAATTGCCCCACGACACCCAGTGAAAGAAATCCCCTCCCATTTTGCCAACCGCATGGTCATGGCCTTCATCTGCCAGGCGGGACAGAGGTCAAATCATAGAATCTTCCAGACAGGAGTCGGAATATGGTGAATATGGTACCAATAGGTGAAATCCTCCCAATGTTCCGTATATGACCCATATTTACCTTCAGGTGACTAATCCTCCCAGACAGTTGAGACTGCCCTTGAATTTCAATGGTCTGATTTGTAAGGTTTCCCTGGGTCTCCATTGGTTCGCTCTCAAGAGCCAGTGAGCAGCGCCTAAGGCCAAACAAGTGGAAGTTCTACCTGCTTAGTATCTTCACTGTTGTTGTTTGTTTGGGTTCTGTTCATTTTTAGCAGCGGGCTGCAAAATAAGAAAGAAGAGTCGTGCACGCCCGTACCAAGGGGTGTGAAGGTAAAGCCTATAGAAACCTTAAACATCATGCTCGTAAAACATAAAGTCAATAGGTTTTGGGCGCTGAAGTCAGGTGAGAAGGTGTCACCCTCCCGCCATGCTCAGACCCCTTTTGCAGGAGTGATGTTATAGTGGGAATCCCAGAGAAATGAACCAGCCGGTCTCCGTATATACAGTGTATTTATATATGCTCACCCCCCCCCCCAAGATCTACCTTGGGGTGACCATATATATATATATATATATTTGTTTATTTATATATTCATTTATTTATATATTGTTTTAGTTATATATGTATATATATATATATTTATTTATTTATGTATTTTGTTTAATGGGAATTCATTATTTGGAACCCCACTAGGATGCGTTGTATTCTGGGGTCTTCTTATACCAGCCCAGCTGGCCATTGGAACCAGGCTGAAGAGGACCCCAGGTCTGTTCAGGGGAAGTATCGTGCTCGGGGGTCTGCGCAAAAAAAATGGCTCATATGTCAGATGTCGTATTTCATGTTTCATTTGGTGCCCTTCAAACTAGGGCTTGTCAGGACTCTTTGATGAGTAGTTAAGGGCCAGCGTCCCTTTCCCACCAACAAAAACTCCAGGCACCTTAAAGGCGCCCACGGGCCATGCCCGCAGCTTCGGGCCCGGAAAGACGCGCCTTGGCGCCTGCCTTGGCGAGCGTTTTTGCGAGGACCAGCGGAGCCGGACACCCTCGCCCATGTCGCGGAACCGGCAGCCCAGGACCGGGCAGGGATGGCGTGATATGGCTGTGGGTCAAAACCAATTGTACGATTTTGGGGTAGGTGCACCACCCATTTTCGTCTTTTTTAGTTGGGATTGGGATGTTCACTGGGGGTACGGGATTTTGGCTCGTCTTTTTGCTTTTTTCGGATACCTGGACCTTCAAAATTAGGTTACGCATTAAATATGGGGCGGACTTTGTTTTTGGAGGTTACCTGGACCTTCAAAGTTCTCTTTAAGCATTGGTTCTTATGTTTTTCTTTTTTTTAAAGGTGGTTTGAGGGTCCAGGTACCCTTTTTCTGCTTGGCTTAAAGGAAGCCCAAAGCAACACCTTTTGGGGCCTCCTTAACAAAAAGAAGCACCCAGGTCAAGCTGGGCAAATTGAAGCGCAACCAAGACCAGAAGCCAATCCTGTCTTGGGGAGTCCTTACTTGACTGAATCATAGCCTGTTTTTTCCCGAGAGATGCTTCCTTTCATAGGGAGCCCTTGGGTCAACTGTGGTTCACGGTCAAAGCCCCAGAAAGCGAGCTTGGAAATCAGGCACAGTACGCCTCCACCTACTCATTGTAGTCTTGGTCCACTTGTGTGACGACCCGAAAGATAAACTCTTCACATGTCGGATCCTTCGGGATGAGTTTAAGCTTAAGATCAACCCGTGTACTGCCCAAATAGGCGCTGCACGTGAGAGAGTTGGAACCAATCCCAGAGACAATTGGAAGGGTGAACCAACGTGCGACTGCCACTTGGGGACTTAAGAGCGGAGATCCTTGGCTGGCCACGCCGGCGAAAAGCAAATCTTGGCGAAAGCGCAAAAGAGCGGGGGTCAGCGACACGATTCAACGAGCGTGGCAGTCCGCAAACATGGCGCCGTTTCGCCAAAGTGATTTTTGTTTCTAGCCGCCAGTTTTATGTCGCGCTCGCCAATTCGTGGTCAAAACCGGCTCACCAGGGTACTTTACTCGGGTTCCCTTTCGGGTTTTGGAAGTATAGAGTTTACTGATTTTAAGGGCGCAACCTTTTGGGTCGGTGGCGTCTGGTTTTAGGGGGGTTGTGACCTCATCCATGAGGCGGGAGTCTTAAGAATTCCTTGCTTCAAGCTTTTAGCAGTTTGCCAGACCTTGGTGCGCCTAGCTGGGCATTTGTCAGGGTTGCTGCTAGCCTTGAAGTTATATATAATCAAATCCACTAGGGTAGAACTTGGGTAGAGCTTGGGTAGAACTTGGGTTTGTTTAACTTTAATTGATTTTCACTATACCAGTGGACAAGGGGCCTAGCTTCTACAAGCGTGTTCCGATTTGGTTAAATTGGTAAAACTTTGTACACTGCAGGCACCACAATCAGGACCCAGGTAAGTCAAGTAGCGGTCCCAGTCAGAAATAGGTGCGGCCGCCTTTAAATCGTGGTTCTGGGTGAATTATAACGACATCACACGACCTCACCCCAAATGGTGGTTTATGTGGGGAATAGCCCCGCAAGCACCTTATTTCAGGTTGGTGAAATAATTAGTTTGAGTAGACTCCTTTAGTACCACGTTTTGATTGCGACTCACAGCAGGGAAGGGATACATGGGCTCGTATCTTGCAGGATGACATCTACAGCGCCTCAGCGGCATTTAGAGCGCAGGCTCTTCGGCATTTCCTTTTTGAGCGTACCCAAAACCTGTGTTGTTGTTGCGTGTTTGTTTTGTTTGGTTTTGATTTGCATCTGCAAAAACTGGCCCTGTGTCATGTGTCCCTTTTGGGAATTTTCGGCGTTTGTTCCGATTCAAATTAGGTATGTTGGGGGTGAAGCTGATAGGGGAAACATAGGCAAGCCTTTAAAGGGAGCTCGGGCTGAAAGCCCGATTGCCAATTTGAAACCAGGGCATTTGGTACAGGCATTGGTGATGACCTATTGTGGTTTTAGGGTTCCGTGATACCAAGCGGTCAGGAGATTGGCCAACTTTGGTATTGCAGAAAGCGTGAATTTCCACCACCATGCCCAGCACTTTTTAAAACTCGGTGTACTTGCGTGTGTCCGCTGTTTGAGTGCAGAACTTGGACACTGACAATGAGCACAGCTACGCTGGGTGTCAGTGTCATGCAGCAAGCTTGTGTTGCCTTGACCGCACGTGAGCAGCTGATTGCACGAGCCCTTGAAGCTTTGGTATGAGCACCTGCACAAGAGGATCCAGCTTTCTTCGGAACAGATTTCTCTTGGAATTCCCGTTGAGAGCATTGTTTCGCCTTTTCTTTTTGCGGGGTTGAGGGTTGCCTTCTGTTTGAAACATTTTTCGGCTTTGTGAAATGGAGTGACAAGACCTTTGTAGACGGGAATGAGCCGAAAAAAGCCAATCCAACTTGATGTGCCGAAGAATGGGCGGGGGGAATCAGGGAACCGCGACCCAATCAATCACAAATCGATTGTGGTTATCCCATTTTTGGGGTAGGTACACCACCCATTTTAATCTTGTTTAGTGGGGATTGGGATGTTCACCGGTACGTTTTGACCCATGGCCAAATTGATCGTGGTTTCCCTTTGGTTTCAGCTTCAAGCAGTGTAGCCTCCTGGAAAGCGAAACCGCGCCCGGTGCCAAAGCGACGGCTTGAGTTGAGAGCCAGGCTTCGCTGCCCAGGGGCAAGATGGGCAAGGCGGGCATGGCTCCGGACGAGTCCTTTGGTGCATTTTGCCAAGGGATGTTGGCTTGACTTTGCCGTGGATGGCTAGATATGGCAAGTGGGGAACAAGTTTGGACACCCAATGTTCAAGGAGCATGGAAACCTTTGGTGCATTCTGCTTGGATATTAGGACTTTATTTGTTTTTGCCAGCCGAGGGGTTTTCCGTATTAAACCACCAGAAGTTGAACGTTTAGCAGGGGAGCAGAAAGCAAGCGACAAGTGCTCGGATGCTTCGGGTAGCTGGGGTTGGTTCCGGTACTATGGCGATAGCCTACCTGAGTTGAACGTTGTGCGGATCTAGCCAATCGCTCCTCGGTAGTCACAACCTGGCAACTTGCTTCTGAGGTTTTGGTTTGTGCTCAACGATGTTGAAGTGTTCGTTCTTGGGAGTCCCAGATTTCACGTTGGCGACTTCTTACAGTTTATCCAGCTTAAAGTTCACCCAGATAGTTGCAAACACATGTGTTCGCTTCTATCGAGTAATTCATATTATTTTGGGGGAGACAGGCCCTGAATCCGGAGCGGTACAACACACGTATCACGATAAGTCAGGAAGCCCGCGGTTGGGTGTTCACTTGACAAGCAAAGCAAAATCGCAGATGGGGATGTCTCAAAATGAGATCCCACAATGGCCAAGTTTTCCCTATGGTTCTTCCTTCAAGCCTTTAAAGCAACCCAAAGAAAGGGTGCCCTAAAAACCACCACACCCAACTCAATAGCTTGAGCTCAGAACCGGCAAAAGCACTTTTGAACATATGAGCAGTGGCCCTGTTGAGGCTGGCTGAGAGAGCAACCAAGATGCAACCCACTATTTGAGGGGTTCCCTTTTGACACAAACCTCTAAGGGTAGCTTCCCCATTCTTTCCAGGGATCCTTCTTGCTAGAAAACCACCCACAGCCCTGGGAAAACAGCTGGTTTTTGAAAAGAACGATGGTTGAAAAGAATGAGGAATGAACCCCAAGAATACCCGGTCCTTACCAATTTAATGGTGCAGCTGATAGATTATTTGCATTCTTTACCCACTGCCAGCTGATTGTGACAGTGGGATGGTCCATGGAAAATCTGGCCGCGAAATGTGCATCTTTCGCATGAACTGACACCCACCAACGGGTATATACCATGTGTTCCATGGGGTTTTGGTTTGGGGGTAATGAACACCCAACATGGGTATATACCGTTATATACCATGTGTTGCATTGGGTGTTTGGACGTACCGCCGAGCCCAGAATCGAGCTTGTGGATGATTAAGTGATTCCCCTAGTTCAGTGGTGCCCTGTGGCCCTGCCGCGAGCTGCAGATCGAAGAAAGTCAAACAATGGCCTGGCATTGGCGATCCCACACATGGAACCTGACGAGCGGTTTTTGGTTTGGACTGTTGCTCAACCGTGGAGGTGGGCAATTCGATAAGCGTCTGGTCTTTCGGGCTTGGCAACTTTACATTGTCGGAGGCAACCCAGGTCCATCGGTTGCAAGTGCAAGCCATCCGGATTCAATCCGTGGGTTGCATACCCCCGGACCCACCCGGGATTAAGAAATCCCGGGTTTTCGTAAGCAGGTTTCTTACCAAGCAAGAGTTTGACTTGAGTTCGTCTTCTCTGGAAGGTTCGTTTTTGGGCGTTCATTTCAAAGACGCTTGCAACTGACTGGTTGCCCTTTTGAGAATTGTTTGGCCCTTTGGCTCGTTTGGCCATGTGTTGTGGGGTTCCCCACAAAGGACATGCCACCCACCCCCACTTACCGCGCTTCAGGCGGTCAGCGATGCGCCTGAGGCGCAACAGTTGCCAGCTGGTTTCTGGAGGGGTGTCCCACGTATAAAACGCGCGCGAAATAGAGAGAACTTGTAGAAGGTTATCCGAAGAAAAACCCAAAAGGGCGGAATAAGGATTTTTCAGTTTTTAGGGCACACAGTCGGTTACTGGACGGATGTTGACAATGCTTTGCTTGAAATCTGTTTTTGTCGGCGCTTGGCTACATAGCCAATACCTTTAGAGTTAAGGAAAGGAAACCGGGGATGGACAGTGAGATTTGGCTTTCCAGAGCTTATTTGACACAAATCAACACCAGCAAGATTCCTCTAGAAAAGTCGGAACGTGGAACCTCTAACTGGTCGCCATGTTTTTTCTCCCCGCTTGGGCCTTTTGTGAGACGAACTCCTCCGAAAGACCGCCCTTAAGGGGCACAACTCTAGTACCGCTCACATTGAAGGCCACAGACTGGCTGAGTTCGCATCGTCCGGATTGTGACTCAAACTGGGGTCATTATTTTGACGGTTTCTGGGTGTTATCAAAGTCAGAAAATGGAATTGGTTGTTTCCCTTTAAACCACCACTGAGCGGGGGTGACTTTGATCATGGAGTTGAGTGGTCTGTAGCTGGCGTTTTGTTGCAGCTTCATTGTCGTGTTATTGTCTCCAGGAAGGGACAAAGCAGGGACATGCTTCGGTTGTGTCACGCATGTGGCATCATATATTCAAGAAACAAATAATCAACTCGAAAGCATTTGGCGACATGGATAATGTTCATGTGAAACCTTTTATCTAGGATAGCTCCCTTTGACCTTCCGATTACAACCATCAACGTGGCCAAACTCAAAGCAACCCGGTTTGCTTGTACTCATCCCCGCAAGGACAAATCAGATCTGGTTCTGGGCGAGGTTGAGATCTCATAATTGCGATCTGTAAGTGGCCGGGAAGGAGTCAAGCAATGAAGTCATGCATGGCTGTGACTCAAAAAACCGGTACCACAATGGAAGCCTGGTAAGTGGAAACATGGACCAACATCTGCGTAACCCCTCCTGTATAATTTTGAGCCACACCCACATGCAAACATGTGTATAAAGCTTCCTGACATGGACTATACAGAAGCAATCCCAAAGTGTGAGGGAATCCCACCCCGCATGAGCCCTCTCAAGTTGGGACTGCTTGCAGCCGGATAAAGAGTCCAGCACTTGCAAAGCTGCTTGAGACGTGGAGTGCCATTTGATTTGCTGGGTCACAAAACCCCCCCCCTCCCCTTGGCCGACCTGTTCCGGGATGAAGCACGCGGGAGTAAAGCCATTCCATCAACTGTGCGAATTTTGTTCGTCAGCAGCTCTTGAATTCCCCAGTGGCAGCCCTATGAGTTTCTTGTAGGGGGATGGGTATGCCAAAAAGAAACTCCCTCGACCGAACAGTCTCGATTCTTTGAGACGTCCTAGGAAAGATTGCTCCAGGCTTTGACTCCCTCACTGGTCCAAAAATCGAATCAACCGGATCTGGCCTTTGAGCTGCCCCTTGGTCCATGCGGAGGTTCATGGCCTGAAAAGGTCGACCTTTTATTTCTGGGTCTTTCAGGGGCTAATAAGTCACAAGGTGAGTCTGCCTCATGCGAACATTCTTGGATGATATATTCCCACGCGAATCCCACACCTGCAGGAACGGAGGGCAGATCAGCCAGGCGAGCGGAATTCGCTCTTTTCGGGAACGTGAAAGGCGATTATATGGCTGTAGCTCGTTTTTTTTCGAGGCTCGGTTCCCCTTTTGGTGGTTTTTGAAGGGACACCAAGAGGAACACCGAAATCCATTTTGGGGGTCCCCTAAAAGCACGCTCATATTCTTTCAGATTTCATGGTTGGCAAATTCTGAAACAGAACCTGAACATATTTGGTCCGTTGGTGTTCCCTGGGGCGGGCCCATTTTGGATCGATTTCAAGTATTGAGTTGCAGCCATACTGTGGATAGAATGATGATTTCCCTCAAAATACCAACAAGCTTAGGTGGTGCAGGATTTCGTCCATCAGCAGTAGCAAGGGCGACCATAGCAAGGGCGTTGACTTCGTATGACCGCTGCTATGTGTCCGATTGCGGTTTTGTTCCTGATGTGTTTTGCTAGGTCATCAATCAGCTTCTCTCATCATGGTTGCTCCTTGAGGTGATCAGTTTGCTTCAGCTTGTCGGAAGTATGGTTTTGTGTTTCTTTCCCACTCACCATCTAGAAGGTAAACTGTTGAAAGCGGTCAGCCGACCCAGCCCGTTGTGTATTTTATGAATTTCAAGTACCTAATTGCAGGATATAGCTAAGCACCAAAAAGGTATCTTTTCTGTGTGTGTGTGGATAGCCACAAGCTGTGGCACATATCAACAAGGGGCATAGCATATCTTGGTTGTTCCCAGCCATCCCCTTCGGTTTTCAGGTTTTTAAGGTTTTGTCGGGGTTCCATTTAACCCACTAAAAGTTGAAGTGTTTTTTTTTTTTTTTTTTTTTTTTTTTTTTTCGAGGGTACCCATTGATTGGTGTCTTTTTTCAGGACAACCAAAGGGAATACCACCATTATGTGTGGGCCCACCTATTTCAAGACACACCCATTTCCCTTCTTGAGCCCTTGACCATTACTTGGACATTGTTTCTGGATGAACCATGCAAACTTAGTCAGCCAAGCAGCAAACCTGAGACAACCGCAACTGAATCAATTTTTGAGCTGAAGTTTGGGTATGGCTTTGACTGGTGCCGTTCCAGCTTGCTGCGATCAAGCAGAATTAGCATATTAGCAAAGTGGAAGAGCCTGCCAACACAAATTTATGTTTTTCCTGGCTGCAGTCTGTGTTCTCTGGGTTGTCAAGTGTCATAGGAACGACATGACTTGGTATCACTTCCCACGACTCATTTGCAGGTTGCAAGGTTTTTTGTGAGTGGCCCGTGGGATCCCGTGGTGATGGAGCCACGAGCCACAAGCCACATGCTGCTTCTTTGGTCGGGAGCTGTGGGGTCATTCTTGGAGCGGCACCTATTGTCTAGGTCCCCCAGAAATTGGTGCCAACTTTTACCGTTTCTTTTTTGGGGTTTTGGGTTCCCCTACTAACTAAAATGGACTACAGAAAAAAGGGTACCCTTATTCTAACCTCTCCACTGTCTCTACTGGAGGACCTAGTTGTTCTTCCAAGGGCGAGCGACTTCGCAGGTCGACCGAGGATAAAGGCCGGGGGGGGGGGGGGGCTGTGGCCATCTTTGAGAGACAAATGCAGCCCCTGCCGGTTGCAACCCAGGAGGTGATTTTCTGATGTACAGGGCTCCTTAAAAGATACATTTTGCCCATTTGGAACATGGCTTGTTCCACCTAAATAAAGGGAAATCACAATTTACAAGGCAATGTTCAGGTGTATAATGTAAGGATCCCTGTTGGATGATGATTTGTGTGTGCGTCTTTTTTTTGGGGCCCAAAAATGATGGGTTTCCTTTTGGCTTGCCTGTATTTATCGGGTACCCTCAAAAACAAGCAGCCTCGTTTGGTTCGTTACTCTTGAGAATGGCAATTCTGAGACGAGGTTCCTGTTGGTGGAACAAGTTGTGATTTTTCAAGAAGCTTTTTTTCTTTGCAATCGAAGGTTTCTATCAACATCCAACCAAAAACAAGAAACGATTGCTTAGTTGGTGTTCTTTGGGTTGCAACGCGCTCTCGCTGTCTCGCGCGCTTTGTTTTGACCAGCCGCAAGAATTTGTTCCAACCTTTGCCTTTTCGGTTTTCCCGACTTGGCTGGGGTCAAACACAGGTACCCGAAATGGAACTGTGGTAAATGGAAGCATGAACGTTTTTTGCCTGCGGTCCATATCTGGGTGGTCGACTTTTGACCCATACCCAGAAGAATAACATCAACTCAAATGGTCATTTGGACCATACTCTACAGTGTGATCATGTGCCCCGGAATCGCAGTGCCATAGGTTTCCATTCCTAGCCTGAACTGTTTGCATACTTACATTTGGCTCAAGGCAAAAGTCCGTGGGCGGGGGCGGGTCGAATCCCTTAAGTGTTCCTCGTTCGCGGTTGCCATAGCATACACTGGATCTTGCCACTTGACAGTTTACAACTGGGTTCAGGCGGCGATTTCTGTTGGTTATCAGCCGTATCGCAACGGCTTATTCCTTGCAGCTTGGAACGAATACTTGATTTGAGTGAGCGGCTACAGCAGCCGCACTTGATCTTATTGGGTACAGTTCAAGGGCATTGTGAAAAGCGCATCTGTATTCTTGACAGCTTGGAACGACTACTTGATCTTGAGCGAGCAGCTACGAGCCGCACTTGAGGGTATTGGGTATAGTCGACGAGCTTTTGGGGATCACCGATTTATATGCAATCGGAGCAGCAGCGCGACAAGCGATTCCGAGCAGACGGGTTACCTAGGACGAGCGACTTCGATCCTCTTGACATCACCGAGGCTATCAGGACAGCTCCCTGGAGATCTACTATTTAAATCCAGGAGGGGCCTCCGGCATCGGCAGTCTGGGAGGAGGAGGAGGAGGAGGAGGAGGTAGAGGTTGAGGTTCCGGAGGAGGAGGAACAGGTTCCGGAGGAGGAGGAACAGGTTCCTGTTGCGGAGGAGGAGGGATCAATCGAAGAGATCGAGGAAGTTTGCGTTGTGAGTGACGAAGAGCGAGCAGAGCCAACAGAGCCAGCAGAGCCGACAGAGCCAGCGGAGCCTTCGTTTTCCTCGCGGCCGCGGCCAACTTCGCAGATCGCGGTGGACCGATCGACGCCATCTTTGGAGGAAGCAGACGTTTTTCCTTGAGGAGAGACCGTATTACAATTGTTTCTTTGAGCGGAGACTTGAAGTTCTGAGACAGCACAAGGCAAAGCGATACACAGTCAGGCAAGTGGCGAGACCATTCAACGGGCCTTCGGACTTTTGAGACATCACACCGGAGCAGGGGCCGCTGGCATCACACTCTTGAGTTTAACGGCGTCATTCCGGAGTTCGTCGCTCGAAAGGTCAGGCAGTTATTGGAATCAGGCCTTTCCACCCTGCAGATTGTGTCTTTTGTCGGGAGCCGCTATAGGGAAGAATCGACTAGACTGAAGCACGTGAAATCCGCTGAGCAGATCGCAGACGTGTTCACGAAAGCAGTTGAGCAGCAGGGCTGGCAAAATGCTCTCAGGTTGCTCGGCATGACCACATCCGTGCCCGAGACCGTGAAGCGTTCCATGGCCGGTTTCAAGCTGCAGCAAGATCAAAAGCCATAATGAGTTTAGCTTGTGTGCTTGTAGGCCATCTTGGATCCGTGCGCAAAAGCACAGGACTTGATAGGACTCAGCACCTTGTTGAACTTGAAGCAAACGCCAACCGCTGCCGTCAGGCGCGACCCAAACCATGTGCAAGTTGAAACGGACGCCAACCGCTGCCGTCAGGCGCGACCCAAACTGTGTGCAAAAAATGACACTTGTGAGGATAACTTCGTGTGTTCGCCCGCTTGTGCCGCACCCACCGGACATCCGACCAGGGGGGGTTACTTGTGGATGCATGCTAGCTGTTGACACTTGTGATCACCTTAACCGCAGACAAGGCAAAGGACGCACACCGTGGTGTGTCCGCCTGCAACAACACAAATGGTTGTGACTGCTTTGGACGCATTGACAGTTGCCACCTGGAGTTTTGCGCGAACCCAGCATACAGCTGACAGCTCAGGCCCACTGGCAGTGTAACTGCACCAATCTACATGTAGAGAGGGGGGAGAAGAATAACATCAACTAAAATGGTCATTTGGACCATACTCTACAGTGTGATCATGTGCCGCGGAATCGCAGTGCCATAGGTTTCCATTCCTAGCCTGAACTGTTTGCATACTTACATTTGGCTCAAGGCAAAAGTCCGTGGGCGGGGGCGGGTCGAATCCCTTAAGTGTTCCTCGTTCGCGGTTGCCATAGCATACACTGGATCTTGCCACTTGACAGTTTACAACTGGGTTCAGGCGGCGATTTCTTTTTACCCAACTTTCCCTTTCAACCAGCAAGTGTTTTATGGCCATTAAGTTCCTTTTAAGTTTGAGCCACAGCCATATGGAGACTTCCGTGCCAGAGAGGAGGTACTTGGAAGACAATAGAAGCGTCGCTGAGTCAACAGCTTGTAGGCTCATATATTTTATCGAGCGGCTGGTGTCCAACTCTCCTTGCGCTGTGGAGAACGACCCTGGTGCGTAATCGATGGCTTGCAAATCTGGGACATGATTTTGGGTGTCCTTGATATGTTGGGTTGGCTAGTCATAGATGGGTTCCACTGGTTTAAATGAGTTTTATTCCATTTGCCAGAAACATCGACTTTACCGAAAAGACGCCTGCCTGTGTTTCTCTCCACAACTACGTATGCCTTCGAAGGCTTGTTTTCAACACCATGAGTTCTTTCTTTGCAAGCCTGAGCAACTCGATCGCCCTGTGTGAGTCCTGATGTAAAAAGGTTGTGCAAGTTGTGGACATTCAGCCGTGCTGTGTGGCTTACCTTGTTTGACTTCAACGCCGGGGAAGTTTCTCATGGTGGAAACACCTCTTGGTTCGCTTCAGGAGGATGGTTTCGTTGTCTGACTCTGATGAAAGCCTGGAGATGCAAGCGCACTCCATCACCGGACGCACACATGAGTTTGCACTCAGCGCCGCTGTGAAGGTTTACATCTTCACGTGTAGCAGGCTTTTCCTTGGCACTGCGCAGCGTGACGTGCAGTTGAAGCCCTTGGGAGGCACCTCGTTGAGGTCTACCTTTTGACCTGTGAGACGGCTTACGAGCAGCCTGTGGCACTCAGCCAGACCCGTGCATTCGTGCTGGGCCAGAAGCCGTTTGATTCGGCAGCCTCCAAGGCAACTGGCAGGGATGAGCGAGAGACCGAGACTTCGAACTGACCGAGCACACGGCGTATGTGCAGTTGGGCACTTCGTCAAGTCCGGCACGTATGGGCCAGACTGTGGCGGTTGGGGGCGTTGCTGGCACGGCCGACGGCACGTTTTATGTCCAATTCTTGAACCCCATTCTTCACATCAGTTTGAAGCGCATTGGGGACTCCAACACGATGGCCTCGTGTTAGTGGGTAAAGCAGGGTTTGCTCCATAGGCAGTCAGCCAACAGGGCGCCGACCATTTCAGGGCCCCCTTTTGCAAGAGACCGGGTGTTGGTGGGGATGTGGTTTTAACCTGCAAAATGCTACAAAACCCCGTGTTTTACGGAGCTTTGCAGCGCGAAAGCTACACCCCAGGGAGCTACATCCGAACACCTGTCGCCTTTCGGAGGTGGCGAGGTTTCACAAGGACCTCATCCGCAAGCAGGCGGGACGGGTCGACGGGACGGGCTCAAACAAAAATGTTCAAGAAGATTCATGGATTGGGCCTCGAAAGGACCTGGATTTACAAGGTTAACCTTTTTGGGACCTTTACCAAAAATGGACCAAATCGGTCAGTGGTTAATTAAAAGGTCAGCTTTGGGAAAGTGAGCCAACATGATGTTTTACAGGGCTGACTACCTGTGAAGCAGGATCAGAACACATGATTGTCTTCGCGCCCCAGACTGCGAGACGTGGGCCGGGCTATCTTCACCAACCAATGTTTGAGTGTCTTCAAGAAAAGTCATAGCCGCGTTGAAAAACTGGGGATGTATCCTCCCATTTGGCGCAATTAATGGAAATGGAAGCCAGGACCGATGGATGAATGACTGCCATGCGGCATGCTGTGAGGCATGTTGAAGACGGTGAATTCGAGCTTTAGTGACAAGCGCAGGTGTCATGCGTGGTTGACATCACAACTAAATGTAAAAGTCAGGTGGGCAATGGCACATTGAGCCTGCGGCCAGCAACCGAATAATTGCCAAACGGGGGAGGGAGTTTCCTTGGGCTCTCCAAAAGGATTGGATGAGCCGCCCCAGAAACAGGCTTATGGTTCGTCGTCATTGCCAGTGGTCAATACTGGGCACGGGGGGAAATGAGATTGACCACAAGTTTAGTCCGTTTAGAGTTATCTGATTAGAAGTTGCCTTGTTCTGAGATGTGCTGAGGCCTGTGATTCCACATCATCTTCAACATTCCCAAACCAGCCGTTTTCCACACGCTTCCTGTGGTTGTCTCTCGGTTGCTAGAAAAGCAGCTTTGAGGCAACATCAACTGATGGTGCGAGCTACGGACCTAAATCGCAGACTCCATCAGTTGTTGTCTACAAACTGGGGGTTGGAGGGTGCTGGGGTCTCCATTTTGAGCCACAGCCTTTTCGTTGGGCTGTGGTGATCCGAACAGCGTCTGAAGTGGCGTTGGATCCTGGGTTCTTTTTGTTGGGCGGTCCCCTCGCCGCCGTGGGACTGTCACAACTTTTCTCTTCTTTGCTATGTTCAACGGTGATAGCATGTTGGTCGTGGCAGTTTTGTTATTGCTCGAGGCAGTAGGACCCAGGGACCTTGCCATCGCACGCATGGCGCGTTGCGCGCTCTGCGGTGTGTTCGGGCACAACCTTCGTGGATGCCGATCACCAGGACCATCTGACTAAAGGAAGCTTCGTGCAGAGCAGCGTCTATTGTCAACTGCACACTCGCTCAACCCCCTCATGATAAGAAGCTTGTCCCCATGACAAAGCCAAAGTGGTAACGTTCGTTGTCAACTGCGCACTCTCTCAACCCCCATGATAAGAAGCTTGTCCCCATGACAAAGCCAAAATGGTAATGTTCGTTGTCAACTGCACACTGGCTCAACCCCCCCATGATAAGAAGCTTGTCCCCATGATAAAGCCAAAATGGTAATGTTCGCTGTCAACTGCACACTGGCTCAACCCCCCCCATGATAAGAAGCTTGTCCCCATGATAAAGCCAAAATGGTAATGTTCGTTGTCAACTGCACACTCGCTCAACCCCCAGCACATGATAAGAAGCTTGTCCCCATGACAAAGCCAAAATGGTAACGTTCGTTGTCAACTGCACACTCGCTCAACCCCCCCATGATAAGAAGCTTGTCCCCTTGATAAAGCCAAATTGGTAACGTTCGTTGTCAACTGCACACTTGCTCAACCCCCCCGTGATAAGAAGCTTGTCGTCGCCATGATAAAGCCAAAATGATAACGTTCGTTGTCAACTGCACACTCGCTCAACCCCCCCATGAAAAGAAGCTTGTCGCCATGACAAAGCCAGCCTGGTAACGTTCGTTGTCATCTGCACACTCGCTCAACCCCCCCATGATAAGAAGCTTGTCCCCATGATGAATCCAAAATGGTAACGTTCGTTGTGAACTGCACACTCGCTCAACCCCCCCCATGATAAGAAGCTTGTCCCCATGACAAAGCCAGCCTGGTAACGTTCGTTGTCAACTGCACACTAGCTAACGTTCGCTGTCAACTGCACATAAAGCCAAAATGGTAACGTTGGTTGTCAACTGCACACTCGCTCAACCTCCCATGATAAGAAGCTTGTCCCCATGATAGAGCCAAAATGGTAACGTTTGTTGTCAACTGCACACTCGCGCTTCCCACGGCGGCGAGGGGACCGCCTCCCTTTTTGCTAGCTGATTGCTAACCCACATGAGCAGCTGTTTTTTCTTTTAGATGACTCAGCTTCTGGGGGGAACTCTCAACATGTCCACGAAGGCACTTGTGCGATACATCGGGTGCCGCAAAGCTCCGTGAATCCTTGTGTAGCCGCAAAAATGACATAGGCGAAGCATCGTGCTTATGGTGGTTCACGGTAGTAGCGGTAGTAGTATACAGAATGAGAACATCTTGTGATAGGATCCCACGTGCTTTGGGCACAGGAAGTTTTGCAGCACCGAGAGTGTTGTTTCGCTTTCTCAAGCTTCTCAAGCTGTGTGCGTGTGTGTCTGTATCAGTGTCTGTGTCTGCGTCTGTGTCTGTGTCTCTGTGTGTGTGTGTCTGTGTATGTGTCTGTGTTTGTGCTTGTGCTTGTGTTTCTGTTTCTGTTTGTGTTTGTGTTTGGTTTGTGTATGTGTTTGGGTTTGGGTCTGGGTCTGGGTCTGGGTCTGGTCCGTGTCTGTGTCTGTGTCTGTGTTTGTGTTTGTGTTCGTGTTTGTGTCTCACACCGGATTTTCCTAGAACGAATAAAGCTTTCGCGCGAAGCCTCCACGAAACCTCCGCGAAGCCACCAGGCGCGCAGGCGGTCTTGTCACCAAGGCCACAAAGCCGCGATATAGCCACGTGCGCCCTGCGTCATCGCTCCCTCTTGCATAGATGCAACTATGCCAGAACCCAAACGTCAAAATTGTTCTTGGGGGAAACTCTAAGATACCCCCAA